TTCCAGGGATAAAACTAAAAAGTCACAGAAATGAAAAGTACAGCACAGGGAATATGGTCAATAACATTGTATGGTGACAGATGACGACACTTATGGTGAGCACTCAGTAATGTAGAGAAATGTCAAATCACTACATTGTACACCTGAAATTAATATAACATTGTATGTTAATTATACTTCAATTGTAAAAAAGAGGTGAATATTACTTTTGTATCAGATAAAAATGAAAGAGTATCTATTTTCTTTACATAAAACATCTAGACTATGTTGTCAAAGTCATAAACCTTATAGCATCTAGACAAATTCTAATAAACAAAATATGTAGATTTAAATATTTTTTTAATCACTAGTTTTGTACCCAATCCCCAAGGACCTAGAAGGTTAATGCTCCTTTCTTCGCAGTCCTGAGTTCTTTCCCCTGGGTTGACCTGTCATACCTACACAAAATTCTAATTTCCGCCCCATTTCTAAAAGCATACTAGTCAGCTTTACTTAAATGTATTCTTGTCACATCAAATTCAACATTTCTGAAACTGAACTAGTTCCCAGACCATTTCTTATTTGGGTCTTTCATATTTCCATCAGTGAGAACAGTCACTGAACTTCACCAATCCTTTTGTCTCCCTCTTTGTGTTTCCTTCTACATTCTTTCATGTCTTCTTCCGCAATATATTGTTTTAACTTTGCTTTTCCAACTTTAAATTCAAATTGCTGCAACCCAGCGAGGGCTCTCATGATCTTTACCAGGATTCTTGAATTAAATTTATAACAGACCTCCCTGTTTTTACTCTGTCTTACAACCTGTTCTAAAAAATAGTGCTAAATTATTATATATAGTTGCTTTATTTTGAATTCAAAACCTTCCACCTCTTACAAAATCAAATTTTGTCCTTTTAAGACAAGACTTTAAAACCTAACTCCAGTTTACTTCTCTAATCTCACCTCTTTCTACTTTTGTACAAAAACTCTACAGACCAATCAACGTCCCTGCTCTCTGTCCTTTGTCCTGCTTGAACACCTCTGAGTTTATGTTGTTCCCCTAACCTAGAATACAATAGTTTCTCCCTCCTACCTAAATTCTGCACATCCTTTAAGACCAAATGCATGTCCCATTTCCTCCAAGAAAATTTCTCTACCCAACTGGACTTTGTGTTAATCACTTGGCATTTATTATGCGTCACTTTTTATTCAGTATTGTTTTCAAGTGCCCTCCCATCTTTCTGATTAAACAATAAAAATTCTTTAGAGCAGATACTGTCTTTTACTATTTCTGAATAAATATTTCATAATATTTGGCATGACTTTTGTTACATTATATATAAGCATATATATCTTGTATCACTATAAAATTTCAAAATGTAGACAATAAGATAGGGTACCACACTTTTTTATTCTACTCTATGTCTTAATACATATGTTAACTAAAAGATTCCCTATATAGTTTTTTATTCCATAACAATTCCTCTTTTGACTTACAGCAATTAAGGTAAAAGAAGCAAACCTTTAAAAACTTTATTTCTCTCGTTGCAATTTTGTTGACAGATTTTTCTGGTTTCTCATAAAATATCTTAATGGCCACTATCTGCCCAGTATCCTTATGTTTACACTTCATGACTGTTCCATAACTTCCCTCTCCCACTTTTCCGAGGGTTTCATACATCTCCATTTTCAAGCCCGGATTCTTCTTCATAAAAATAAAGAAAAAGAAGTTAAACATTTGTACTTTTATTTATTCAAGCTGGACAATGCATTTCCGCAATAAACTCATATTTTAAAATACGTAAACATGGAAAATATTAATCTTTTCCATAGATGCTTGTTTGTCCTCGGGAACTCTGCCAACTAGGCAGTAGGGTCCCTGTGGGGCTCCAGGGCTCACCAGAAATTAGGGAGCTTCCTGCTGTCTCGGTCATTCCTGTGAACACTCAGATTTACGATTCCCTCACTACATGTCACCAATCCATCAGGAGTGGGGTCCGCACACGCACACTTCCTGTCATACGCCCCTCAACTATGGGGTTCCCGAAATACTGCAGTCGCCCACAGATCAGGCCCCCGGACCCAAGAAAACCTCAGCCCCACCGGTTCCTCAAACCAGACGTCTTAGGGTCTCGGACCAGTGTTGCGCCCCTTGCCCCGCAGTCGACCTCGTCCGGTCAGCAGCGGAAGTCTCAGCCCATTTTGCAGTCCCGCCGGCCCGGCTCCGCGCAGACCCTGCGGAACAACTCGACACCGACCCTACTTAGCTTGCCAGCCCCGCTAGCTCCAAGCAGCCCACTACCATGGCAACGGTGCCGCTGACCTCGCGCTCGGAGCCTACTGCGCAAGACCGGAACATCGGCCGGACGCCACCGCACCGGCCCGACCCGGAAGAGAAAATGAGAATGGTGAAAACGAGTTCCCGGTGGGTGCTAAGTGAAAGCGTTCTTGGGGTTGGGGTGGGCAGTATACGGGTTGAGACCAACGCACAAGGTTGGTTTTGAGCAGAGGTGGGGGAGGATCCACATTTTACTGCACCGAGAGTCTGCATGTCTTCTAGGAAGGGGCAACAGAGGCGGAGGGTTGCCTAACCTGCGTCTTAGATGCCCCCAGGCCGAAGAACTTCCGCCGCTGGTGCTGGATCCTAAAAGGATGGCTGGAGTCATTAAATAGAGACATCTTGTAAAACTAGTCTTCCAAGGAAGTCTTGTGTAATTATAGTCGTCTGAATTACCTAGTTACATTAATATTCCACAGACCAGAGTTCGATCTCAGCTGTCGGCATTCATCCTTAAAACGGGGTTAAGACGGTTCTCAAAATTAAGAATATTTCTTGAACACCTATATACTTTTAGGTTTTTTTCGAACTCGTCGTACTCCTTTTTAAAGACACCCTCTTTGGGAAAACAATTAAAAGGGCTCGGTAGACATACCGACATGGCCTGACATACAAGGGCACAGCAAAGGGGGGGAAGCCATTAACTAATTGCTTAAGAACTAGACATGGGGTTCTGCTGGCCTGACAGCTTCCATAAATTATGAGTTTCCATAACAATTATACATTGCTAGATAAATGACACAATAGGGTATTTTTTGAAGTTTATTTTTAGCATTTCACTGCATGTGAACCTACCTGTATGTCTTCATCTTTAGCTATATACTGGGGAGAACTAGAATCGCTACAGCAGGAAGGCAAAAAATGAGAATATTTAGCATTTAATTTAGAGAATCTCATTTGTGAATGCATCACAGAACCTATCAAGAGTTAGGCTTGGCTGGGTGCCTGGGTGGCTCAGTTGGTTAAGCGACTGCTTTCGGCTCAGGTCATGATCCTGGAGTCCTGGGATCGAGTCCCACATCAGGCTCCGCAG